GCAGCGCCCCCCGGCCCCGCCCCCCCCCGCCTGGGCAGCGGCAGCCCCGGCCCGGCCCCCGCCCCCGTGGACTTTGCATCCGTCCCAAAGTCTCCGGGCCAGGGCAGCCACCGCCGCCGGCCTTAGCCCCTGCCCGGCGACCGCGGCCCCGCGGGTGATGCAATGGGTCGTCGGCGGTTACATCATCCAGCACCGGGCACCGGCACCGGGCACCGCTGGCGGGGCGAGGAGGGGGGGCACAGTTCCTCTTCCGTGCCCCCCGGGTCCCCGGGCTGAGAGGAGCAGTGGGGGCCGCCCCGTTGTGCACAGGGGTCCCCCCGCAGCACTGTTCACAATGGGGGAGGCCCCTGCGGGGTGGCTGAGGGTCCAGCCATCCCACCCGGGCGTGCACGTGCAGCTCTGCTGCACCCGTGCTCTGCACCCGCGGTGGGTTTGGTGTCTGTTCCTGCTGCTTTAGCACTGACTCAGTGGAGTCGAGATGCTCCTGCCCTGGCCGAGGGCCCAGGAGACCTTGTGGGGAGTCCCCGTGTGCCTTGTGGGGACCTTGGAGATTCCCACGTGCCTACCCTTGGGGGTGGCACCAGTGGCTGGAGACAGAACACTTCGGTCTTGCTCCTTGTGCTGTCACCTGCTATTCCAGGGGCACTTCGGGGGGTAATGGGGCCTGGCACCCATCTGTGAGAGATTGCAACCTGTCTGCCCCCCCTCCTGCACAGGCCTTGCAGCGATGTGGTGGCCAGGTGGCCACCGGCATCCAGTGGGTGCGGCACAGCACTGCTGCGGTGGCTGCCCCCGGGCACGTGCCCACCTGGACGGGGCAGGAGAGCCTGGCCGAGAGTGACCCCGAGATGTGGACCCTGGTCCAGAAGGAGAAGGATCGGCAGTGCCGAGGGCTGGAGCTCATTGCCTCTGAGGTGGGGTACAGGGTGCTTGGGGCAGGGGGTGGTGACGGTCCTGGGGGACCCCTGCTCGGGTGGGAGCTCTGCTGCCTCGTCCCTGACCCCACTTTTCCCCCAGAATTTCTGCAGCCGGGCAGCACTGGAAGCCCTGGGCTCCTGCCTCAACAACAAGTACTCAGAGGGGTACCCTGGCAAGAGGTAAAGAGGGGGAGCAGGTTCTGGGGGGCAGGAGGTGGTGGGTGGCATCAGGGGTGCTCCCACAGCCGGCATTTGGCCGCAGGAAAGGATAAGGGGAGCCCCAGGGCAGGAGCGGGTGCTTCTGAGGGGAGGCTGTCCTCTCCACTGAGGTCTTCTGTGGGACAGGGTGGGACGCTGTGGGGCTGGTGGGGAGAAGGCCCCCCGTAACCACCTCCATTCTCCTCCAGGTACTATGGGGGAGCCGAGGTCGTGGACCAGATTGAGCTGCTGTGCGAGCAGCGGGCTCTGGAGGCGTTCGACCTGGATCCTGCCCGCTGGGGCGTCAATGTTCAGCCCTACTCGGGGTCTCCAGCCAACTTCGCAGCCTACACAGCCCTGCTGCAGCCCCATGACCGCCTGATGGGGCTCGACCTGCCCGATGGAGGCCAGTACGTAGCACAGTGGGGCAGCCTGGAGCCTGCTGCCTCCTGGGGGGCCCAGCCTGATCCTGTGCCTCTGCCTTCCCCTGCAGCCTCACGCATGGGTATATGTCGGACGTCAAGAGAATCTCAGCAACATCCATCTTCTTCGAGTCAATGCCCTACAAACTTGATGTGAGCCGAGGGGGGCAGGTTCCTGGGGAAAGGGGGGATCTGCTGGCCGAGGTGTTGATCCTGGTGGTGCCCCTGGAGTACCCGAGCTGCTCTGCCATCCCCTGCCCTACCATCCCCATGTCCCAACCACGTCCCAGTGCCGTGGGGTGCTTGGGAGCTGCATGTGGTTCAGCCAAATGTGCTGTGCTCAGAGCTGGGGACAGGGAGGTGCATGTGCCTCAGCAAGCTGTCTGTCCATCCCTTGCAGCCAGCCACAGGACTGATTGACTACGACCAGCTGGAGGTGACGGCACGGCTCTTCCGTCCTCGTCTTGTCATCGCCGGCACCAGTGCATATGCCCGCCTCATCGACTATGCTCGTATGAAGAAGGTATGGGGTGGCCAGCTCCATCCCGGGTGACGGGAACTCTCGTGCCTGCTGCGGTTGGAGGGCAGTCGCGCCCCACTCATGGCCATGGGGACAGGGACAGCCTGTGACTCCTCATGCTCCATGTCCCCAGGTGTGCGAGGAGGTGAAGGCATACCTGCTGGCGGACATGGCGCACATCAGCGGGCTGGTGGCAGCCAAGGCCATCCCTTCACCCTTTGAGCACGCGGACCTGGTCACCAGCACCACGCACAAGACCCTGCGCGGTGCCAGGTGAGGCTGCGTCCTGCCGCCCCCTCCCTGGGGAGGATGCCCACCCACGGCGGGGGAGCACAAAGCAGAGGTTGCGTTTTGTGCTCTGCCTGGGGCCAGAGCTAAGCAGGAGGGACCCACCGGAGGGTGGCAGCAGTGTCTGCACTGCCTCGTGGTGCAGGGGGACAGACCCTGCCATGAGGCAATGGCGGGCAGGGGGGAAGAAGGGGGCCATC